ATTTTATTTAGACTTTTCTCCTGCTGACATATGATATGAGGTGAAATCCATAGTTCACCAAATGAACAAGGTAGGAAAGGTGCAGGTTTAATATATCAGATGTGAAACAACAAGTACTCATTTCCCTTACGAGGAAGAATCCTGACTTATGCAAAACCCTGTGACCCTTAACAAGCTTTCTTGAGGTGCATGCTGCTGACCACTGCTCTTTACCTGTCCTCTAGATGAGCAAGGCAAACAAATTTATAGCCCTGTTTTGCATGTAAAAACCTATTTTCCACGGTGCACTGAAGATGATATTCAAATTGAGGAAAAGTCAAATAAGCCAGTCAGCCAGCAATGAAGCAGAGAGAATTTGACTGAGTCAAAAGAGCTTTAGACTTAAGCAGGCTGAGCACTTTGGTAAGGAAACAACATTTGGTCAGATTACTGAAACAAAGGCTTGTTTAGGAGTTCTACTCTGACTCATGAGCTGCTTAACATTACTCTCCAGCCTACGATAAACATGTGATTGACATGTAGTGTCATGCTGTAGTTTCTGATAGACTGGAATCCAGCATTAGATATTTGGATATTAAGGACATAACGATGCCCATTGTGGAAAAAAAAAGACTTCTATTGTGCTGTGATTCAGTGTCATTCATAAAATATCACACTTTAAAACATATTGAAATTTTACAGCATAATAAAACACTTGCATGCACTACAGAGCTCATTCATAAAGATCAGTAATTGAATATTATCGTAAACACATGGTCAAAATTGTTGGAATCCCTCTCTTAAAATAATGTAACTGTATTCAAAGGAGCATTAAGCTGCTTGGAGACGTTCTTATGGTCTTTACCTTTAACATACTTGCATACGTTATTTTTTTTTTTTCTAATCTCCTAGGACAACTCTCTCCTTTGGTTCCTGTGATTCATATTCAGTGTTGTACACGCCATGCCGCCAAAACAGCAAAATGACTACTTGTCACTTTTTTAAATGGGTAGACTGACTGATTATAAGCTTGAAGACACCTCTAATGCCAACGACACATCTTGGTATAACACGTCCCCTTTTGTTAAATTATTTTAGTGGTGCCATCATTTTTTGCCCAGGCGTGTTTCATTAGTTTTTTTTAAAGACTTAATGTCTGATTTCCATTGATTAATTTTCAGTAAATGTTTTATTTAGTATTACCTTTGTCAGTTTCAAGTTACTTCTGTGATGCAAACAACTTTGTCCTCGTGTGTCCGTAGGCGTATTTTGTTATCCATCAGCAACCCCAGTTCTGAGTGCATTTACAGCTTAAGTTGTTTCAGTTCCCCATGAACCCTGCTGTTTCCTTATTTTAGCTCTTGCCATGCAGCTAGAATTAAACGTTATTTCAAGGCATAATTATGTCTTAGGTTTATATCAGCAAAGTCAGCAGAGGGCTATCCCACAGAGAGCAATTGGTGTAGCATGTAGGTGGGACAAGTGCAGCAAAGAAAGATAAATAATGGAAAGTTAAGTGTTGCACAGCTCAGTCATGTGAAAGCATAAAGTAGAAATCAGTTTATCATTGCTGATCAGAAAAAAAATGTTTTATTTATTTATTTATTTATTTTTTGCTTTGTGTGTGTGTGTGTGCGTGGGTGTGTGTGATTTCCAACAAGCAAATTGTTTCAGCTGGAGGTTTCTTCTAATCCTGCACTACAATTGTGGCTTTTAAAGATATGGTGGCGTTTGAACACAGTAAGATGGGAAATTTCTAACATGGGACAGACATAAGAAGGTTCTATTTTGAGAAAAGCTAAGATATTTCCTTAAGTACGTTTTACTGCCTAGACATCAGCATGTGGTTTAAGGGCTTAAACCTAATCAAACAGCGCATGGAAGCACAAGTAAACAGCAGCTGGAATCTTGGTTTAAAAAAAAAGTCTAGGGAAAACAGTCATCTCCAGACTTTGTTTTGCATTTTTGCTTTGCACTTTTCAAATCAACTTTTAAAAGCAAGGCCATGTACCTCTCATAAAGAAGCTCTTCATTTCAATACACAGTTTTGAAAGTGTGAAGTGTGTTCTCTGTCTTCATGCAAATAGCAAAGATGCAGTTTTGCTTGATGCAAAATCAATGTTTATTGTGTGGGAGCTTCAGTTTTAGCCTTGAAAGGCTCTGAAGATCATAATTTGGAATCTAGTTTAGAGGAGTTTAATCTGTGACTTATTTATCAACCAACCTTCAAATCTGTTTTTGATTTTATTCTTGCATGGGGCTCTTAGATCTGTTGCCTTATTTCCTGCTTTGCCAGGGATAATTTTGGGGGATTTAATGGGATCCTGGAGATTTTTGCATGCCAAGGACGGCATTTGGTTTTGGTGAAAATGAAACAAATCTATTGTCCAAGTTTTTTTCTGAGCAATAGGTAGGATGTTACCATACACCCACAATGGGTCTGCAGTTTCAAAAATTTTAAAAGGTGATGAATCAAAATTGTCAAATTTAAGGCCAGTAAGAATTTTAGACTTGGTTTTAGAAGTACCTTTTGAAATCTAGGTATCAATTTTTCAGATTATGGGGTGCCCTATTTTGAAATTTTGTATGCCAAAATTCACATTAGTTTGTTTAAATGTGAACTTTAGCAGATCTGTGCAGTGTATGTTTGATGCTGACATCATATTCAGTGGCTGTTTGACATCTCAAACACAATGTGCTCAACCCAGCTGGGGAGCTAACTGGTTTAGTGACGTGTTTGACTTGAATAGACAGATCTTCAATGTCCAGACAATGTTTATCGTCATAAACGATAAACATCGCATTTGTATTTTTCAAAGCAGTTCTATATTTGGTGGAGGAAAATGAAGACTCACAGAGACAACATGTTTTGAGTGCGATAGAAAAGAAGAAAAGCACAATGCATTAAATGTAACTATGTGGAGTGTAATACACAACTAGAAATCATCATATAAACTGGTGCTCGAAGAAGACTTGCTGTTTTTATATGCTGGATTTATTTCTCCTAAAAGTCAAAAAGTCTGACTTTAAAAAGACAACTGATGAATATAATTGACAGGTTTTGTTTTCCTGATGAAGGTTAATGAGGAAGGGACAATTAGAACCAGAAAGTTATCAAAGTCTGCTGAAATTTATCACATGGGATGATTATTTTGGATTGAGACTGTAACACTGCTGGTCAGAGGGAATCATTCCCAAAGCTGGACAGAGGTAACCTTTGAACATGGGATTATTTCTCATGTCTTTTGCATTTATTAATTTTGTATGGTTTTCATTTGTCAGAGAAGTTGCTCTTGCAGTGAATAACTGCATGTGAAATTAGAGTTTTCTACATTCTCACAACAGTAAAATGTCATTCGGAGAGCCTTCTCAACAACACGTCAAATTCTAGAAGGAGAAAGCGTATCAGCCCATTCAGGCTGTTTTTTTTTTTTTTTCTTTTACGCCAACATGAACTAAGAATATTGTATTGTTAGTCAGTTTGGTTATGTTTCTGTGAGTTTTATGTTCATGTTTTTCATGTTAAATAAAAATCATTAGTTTGATTACAATATTACACAAAAGTAAGAATGCCTGCTTTTGCAACAGAACAAATGCATAAAATTAGGCATGTTTTAGGCTTCTCATGAAAAACAAGAAATGCAAAAGAATTTAACCTATTTGCCAAGTTAAGCAAATACATCAGGCTACAGATTATAATAAAAGAGCTTTTTAGGAAGTCGTGCCACAAGAACCAAACTCCCCATCACTACTGAGCGCTGTCTCACTGCAACAGCGTAACTATGAAGCTCCAAAAACCCATGTTGTGTAGGAGAAGAAGGTCATATGATTCGGGAGAGAAGAAACTGAGGCGAGTGACGCGTGAACGAAGCGCAAGCATCCTTCCGCTGTCTCTCATGTTTTTCTCCCCTACCTCCTCGCTTTCACCTCCCAACTCTTTCCAAGGCTGCATTCAAACACAGGTCTCTGCCAATTAAGACTGAAGCACAGAACGAACCACTGAGAGGAGGAGCAAGGGCACAACACGAGGGAGACTGGGGAGGATTCATTTTTATGGAGCAAATTTATTCTATTATCTACTCATAGCCCAGTTAAATGTATGTTTCCCATAGAATATAGACCTCTTAGTGACTCCTGGGAAAGGCTCCAGCCCCAGGTTTGACTCTGAAACCCTGAGCAGAATTATGTTGGTTCATATCTGTGCCTGCAAGACCGTGCAGTCACCTTAGATTATCACATTAATCTGTCCAATTCAGTCAAATTTTCAGCTACATTAGTTATGCCAAATAGCACAGATTTCTTGGATCTTTGTAAGATGTTTAAGAAAATATTACACTATTCAAAAAGTAAAAGGACTGAATGTAATTACTGTCATTGGATAAACTATACTTAAATTTAGAATTGGGGTGGCTAGTAAATCTCTTTTATTTTATGTTTTTTTTATAAATAAATGCCTATTTTGTATATATGACTCAGCTAACTGCATTGGTATAAAATAAAAAGTACGGCGCGAGTGAAGACATTTAATTTTTAATTATTTTTTTTTTTTGGTTTCTCTTGCAGCTTTTTGAACTACTTGGCTTGCGGTGTTCTATTTTGGGCCTAGTTGGAAATAGTTAATCTAAGATTAATTGTAAGAGCATCATCAGTTGTGATCCATTAGGGAAAATGCTTCTTATGCTTCAAAAGGCTTTTGAATCAAATTATATTAACATTGTAGCCTTAAGATAGTTTTGGGAAACGAGGCTCTGAACTATCAGTAAAGAGCACGAAGGAAAAAAAAAAAGTTAATTAAAATATAAAATGATTTCAAAACAAATTTCCACAGAGGTTCCCATTTTACTCTAAATGAAATGTAAATTAACAAAATGCCATGAGCATCGCGTGTCTCCCAACAAGTGTCCTTTTGTTAAAAAGCGCTCTGGAGGAAAACAAGATCTTGTCACTCTTGTAGCTCCCTCTAATATCTCACCATACTCTTTAATTCCATTAATTTAGACCTCTGCTCTTCCACTTTGCAGACTTGATTGGAATGAAATCTGGGGCATCGGCGGCAGAGATTCGCATCTCCTGAGAATCATCTGACTGACAAAGATTGAGTGGATGTCCTTCCCTGAAAGACAACTGGGTGATTTACTAATTTTAAAATACAAATTGATGCTGCTTACTTGCTGAACACACACTTATGCACAGGCACAGACACACGCGCTTACGTTCACAAATGCTGGCGTTCCAAACCTTTCTGTGTCTGAACAGTAGACATGCAGGCCTGGGAGAAATAAACAAAAATGTCACTTTCTATTTAGCTCAAAAAAAAAGACTGGCTGTCCATCATCCTAATGCGTCGCCAATGAGAGTGAGTTATTTTCCCTTTTCTTCCATTTTTATTCAGTAAATTTAGATATTTTTCTTTTTTTTTATGAACTTAAATAAGAATGAAATACACTTTTTCACATCATCTGTGTGACATCCTTATTGTTTAGGATAAAGCTTTTATTTTGTTCAGATTATCTATTCTTATATGACCTCTAGTAAATGTAGAGGTGGTGGTAGTTCAGCAGAGTTTATTTGGGTTATAGGAGTATAATGGCACAGAAGGTTAGGTATGGAACTGAGCTATGAGGTCACAAATGTTGTGTTTTCGATTACCTGTTTTAAAGAGCAAAGCTACACTTTTAAAGCCAAAAAAATGTCTTTGGCATGACGAGGCCCTAACAAATTAAACTACAAGAATCAAGATAGAATTTGTCAAATGAAGCTTTCACTTAAACACATTTTCTGTTGTGTATTTAGCTGACGTTCTTAAGCTTCTTCCTATTTTTTGGGTTAAAGATTGAGCTTTTTAATAGACTATCAAGGCAATGGGCCTTTAAATTAGCCTTTGAATCGATGAACTATGGAAATAACATCTAATTTCATTTGTAAAGATAAGATTGGTTTATGGTCTATCCTTAATTTTAGAAAAGAACCTAGAAAATCTAACAAACTGTGTTCGTTATTCGGCAATAAGAAAGAGACTGGATAACAACTCCTGATCAAAAATAATGCAAAAACTCATTTGAATGAGGATTTTGTGTTTGCTACTGGTGTGGAGTGATCATAAAAGAAAGATGAAGTCAAAAACCATGGTGCTGGAGAAATAATAGCAACAATGATATTAATAATCTTGCACTTGATCTAAATAAGTGTACATTGTGGTACAGTAACATAGTGAAATGAAACATTTAAAAATCAATCAAAACAGAGCTCTGAACAGCCATATTAAACTCTGCATTCCCAGCTCCTCAGCCTCATGCCTGCCCTCTCTCAGAGCATGCACGGTGACTCTGTTGACCCAATCCAACCCATCTTTCTTTCTGTGTCAGAGAGGGGGGCGTCCCCTACTTGAACCCAACATCGCAAACCAATGTAAGGCTGTAATAATTGATTACAACATAAATACGCTGCATGCAAGTCTGTAAAAGAATTTGGATGTTCGGGGACAACTCTTATGCATTACCGTTGGATGGATATTACTTTTTATTTGTTTTTCCTTCAATATCTCTTTGGCTCAATGGCTGTTTTATGGTCCCCGGTGGCTGTTAATGATCTTTTTTTTAAAGTAGTGTAGTGGCCCAATATTTAAGTTTCTGTTTTCATTTAATTGCACAGATATTGACAGTATTCCAGTGGCATTACACTGTCCTGTGCAGACATCTTTGGCTGCACAATTTATGGAAAATGGAAACATCTGTCATCTGCACCACTTTTTCTAGGCAGCTCGAAATCCGTATTGCTGGAGTATAATTTTGATCTATTTTTAAAATATTTTTATTTTGTATTTGATAAGCAATGGTATCTATGCCTCCTGCTTGTTACAGTGATCGGAGGCAGTTGGTATGCGCTGCGAAAGACTGGGCGCTACTTCAGCAATGTTTTTTTTTTTTAGATATACTTTGACATTTGAATCAGAAATTTGCCTCTGAAATTACTTTGGTGGTACCTTCTCCCTCCCCATGTTTCAGAGGTATTGTTGTACCCAGATATAACTAACTAAATGACTGAGAAACTGGTTCTTTGCCATACTTTTCCTTGAGCTTTGACATGCTGACATGAGGAATTATTGGATAAATAAGATTCATTGGAATTCTTCATTGAAACTGAAATGCTCCGTGTCATTAATCCTGTGCCTTGACATGGGGACTTGCATATAAATGCACCCCTTATTCTGGCTCTCATCTGTCATAACATTACAACACCTGATGAGTAAAGTATCTTTATACTGCCTGTGATATCACAGTAAAATACTTGAGAAACCATGCTACCGACTCTCATGTGGTTGCTACTTTAACATTTACTGCGTGCTGCAACATTCTATCAGACACCAGAAGACACCTCCAGATGTTTTTACGTCCTGAGATCCGAGTGGACTGAGGTATTTTGGAAGCAAAGAGTGGAAGAGAGGTACATCTCACCACCTGACGTAAGCTTAACTTAAATGCTTCTAATATTACTAGATCCAACATCTTTCTAATGGAGAAAAAGGTAACTTTGCTGTACTGTTAAACTTTCTACTACCTACTTCAGATTTTGTTCCCCCTTGCTCTTCAGTAGCCTGAATGATCCCCTTAATACGTCAATATTTCATAAAAAATAGTTTTCTTTTAAGCAGCTTATCACAAAAGGTGAATATAGACATATCACTAATCAAATAAATATATATATTTTTTTAGGTTTCAGACGTGCCACTCATCAATTAGGACAGATGAGTTCCAAGTGCATTTTCACATGATAGTTCTGTAGACTCGGTTCAATTGGTGGGCAAAATTACAACATTTGCTACATTTTCAGCTGGTGTGGTTTGATTTCACATTACACTGAAGTGGCGGTTTCTGATATGGGCAACAGGTGTGGGGTGGCATGAGACATCTCCATTCAGCTCCTGCAGGTGGCATTACTGTGCATTGAGTCATGTACACAAAACCAAACTGTTCCGATATGGGATGAGCAGGAATCGGTCACAAAAATGGTTGTAGGGCCTTTATTTCTTACCCGAGTTCTACAAAATGTGGCTTAAATTAAAGCTGGGAAAATTGCTGATGTTTTGATAAGTAGAACATGCATCTATAAACAATTTGATTTCTATCGGTTCTGTAAAGATGAGGACTAAGTGAATTTTTCTTTTATGTTGGTCAATAATTAAATTTGCATAACTGCCGCTGTTAAATTTAGTTTAAGATTTAAACTATGGCTCCTTTATGAAATATTTGATCCTATTTGATGATTGTTATGACTATCACCAGGCAATTAGTCCATCCCCATTAACCCACAGAGCAGAAAATGATATAAATCATTGGACTTCTCTTTTGCCTCTAGTAAAAAACCACAAAGCATTTTGTCCCTGTAGTGCAAGACATGCACATTTTGGCTCGATTGACCTAGAATGCCCTGCACTGTAGTTTGCTTCCTGCTTTGGAGCGGTCTCCGGTCCGCTTGCATCCACATATGCATTTGAACAGTGCCAGATTTCCGAACTGGGGCCTAGGTTTGTAGGCCGAGTTTGCTCTTTTGGTCCGAGTTTGATTGTGCATTCACCCTTCCTAAACTAAATGGACCTTCTAGACAAACGAACTAGAGTTTGATTAAAGCATACTAATCAGGGCTGGTGTGAACGCACCCAAAAGACATGATCTGATTCCGGTCAACAAATGATTTCTCAGAACCTCTCTATAACAAAAATGTACTTGTGTATAGATGGCATTAAGAGTAAAGAGATAGTTGTAATGATCCAAACTGTCCTAAAACAGAAAAATGTTTAGTCTGTCATTGTCAGACACTGACATGTCTGTGTGTTAGCCCTGCAAATGGGCAAATCCATTCAAAGTTTGAAGAAATTGTATACCATTTATTTTTCTCAAAATGCTTGAATGCCTTTTAAACTGTATCAAAAAAAATTGTGACTCTCTCACAGAAAAGCTGCTCCCGAGATTAATCAAACCCTTTCTCAGGAGTCCAGGCTTAGCTTTCCTCTCTTCCTTGACCATGGTGTACACAGCATTAAACGATCTGTGGTGCAAGTTCTTCACTGTGAGGGAATTGCGCTTTATTAGCAAATCCATGACATAAATATTCAGCAATGAAACAATCCTTACTTAATGCCTCCAGACCACATATCTTATGTGTGATCAATAGAGGCAGAGGAAGAAGGAAGCAAATGAAGTCGCCAGCAACATGATAGGTCCAAAAACCTGTCAGTCAGTGTTATATGAACTTGAAACACATGGATGCTTAATAATTAATTGAGATGCAGTGCATAAAAACTAGGACAAATCTTAGCTGACTAATCACAAAAACGGATCTCTGCAATTGAAATATATTGATCCATGAAGCAGATTTCTCTCTGCTGCAGATCAGTTTGTTGTGGGGCACTTGGATCAAGGAATACAAAATCCTTAAGTAACATATTACAATATTTCCTTCTACATTAAATGGTTTCACTTCAGAATTATTTTTGATAATAATAATAATAATTAATAAGCACTATTATTGTTATTTATTTTTGTTATTGTAAACAGTGACATTCATATTCTCCATTACTCAATTATATTTAAGTAATTTAGGACAAAGGTATTGCTAACTGTTCATATGAAATGCACATACTTTAAGAGTATGGGAAGTATAGATTATCTATGTTTTGAATCCGTTTTTTTAATCCATGGTGAACAAATTGTCAAGAAAATGCCACGTGACAAACAGTGCACAGTATCTCATGCTCAAATGAAAAGCAGTCATAGTGATGCAACAGTTTCAGTTTGACCTCTAAATGTACATGAACTGCATTAAATCTATTGTCTGGCATAACAACCCACAGCTGAGCGTGGATCACCAAAAATTAATTTTTGCTGGAAGTTGAATCTGATTATGATTATGTCAAGTACAAGAGGATGCCTTACACCTCCCTGATGTAATTTAGGATTATGCAATTTGTGAATTTAATACTATATTATCCTTTTATATACATTGCTGTGAAAAGCACTAAATGATTTCAACTGTTTTTGTCTAACATAAATTTTTTTTCATGATGTGAAACATTTATGGAAGAAATCTTTAATAGGGTAAATACACAGTACTCTACATCCCTCATTATAATTTACAAATCCTCTATTGTCTAAAAAATGGAATAACTTATTTGACTGAATTATGTTGTCACTGTGAACAAAGTAAAATCCACAAACAGCTTGGATCAAGTTGCACCTTTTAGACCTGGGGTTCATCTAATTTCAACAAAGGATTTGGATCGGATTCAAAAATCCTTAAATATGTCCAAATTCTTCAGATATTAAAAAAAAAAAAAAAAAAACAGGCTAAGGTTTATCCTACAGAAAAACTTACGATTATTGTACATTTGCATTTATTTGCGCGCATACCTCATTTACCCTTCCGCCTCAGTCTCTGAGTACTTAATCTCCAGTGTTATTATTTTTCTTTCTCCCCCACTCATCATGATTTTTTTTTTTGTACAGAGTACAACTCTGTTATCCTCTTGTTTGGCTGCAGTCATGTTATTGTTGTGTGTACTTGTTAGGTGCACTGATGAAAAGACCACCTGTCATCCACTGGCCCTTTGATTAGATTAGGAGGTCGGTTGGATGGATTAAATTGATATGAAAAGACTAGACCAAAATGTAGTGCTTACTGTGCCGATGCAAAGCACTGTAGACTGGTTGGGTACTTCTTTAGTAATAAAAATGAACACAGCTTCTTGTTAAGTCACAACCTTTATGGATAAAACTACACAGACATTTAAGAATTATTTCCAACTTCATAAGCTGATTTAGGTCTTATAGGTCCTGTGTTCACAAAGCACAATTTTCTCTAGTACAGTTCAGATTTTTTATTTTTTTTAAGTGATATTTCACAAGAAATGCAGGTTTATTCACAACATATTTCAAGTGTTCTGTTCCTTTTGATGATTATGGCTTTACAGCGGGTGAAAATCTGCTTTCAAATTTTGAGTAAATTTGAACATTACATGAAGCTAATAGAAAATTGGGCATTAAATTAGAAAAAAAAAAATGTTACAGCCTAGACAATCATGGGGTAGACTCCTGACTTGAGAGTTGCCCAGCAGACAGACGATAACACCTGCTCATTGCCAAAGGAAGTGGCCACTCACATTACTGTACCATTCATGTGTATGGAAGTTGAGCCAATGACGGGAGAGATTAACAAAGTTAAGTTAGCAGATTTCCTGAAAAAAGAGGAAGTAAGCTTCCACCAGGTTTTCTGAAGAAAGAGGAAGGAAGGAAGGAAGTAAGCTTCCAGTAGCTTTCCTGAAGAAAGAGGAAGGAAGCTTCCAGCCTGCATATGTAGAAAAATAGTTCAGATTACTCCCATTTCAAAGCATAAAAGGTTTAACGGATAAAATCTAAAGATTTTGAGTAATTGGATAAAACCCAGAGTAAAATACTTCAATTAATAACTTATAATTAAACCAATAATTAATATTGGTTTAACCAGTGGTTGTGTCAGAAAACATCTGTAAAAACTTGTATTAAAATTATAATACGAGTAAGTAATAAGTTTTGGTTATCATGATATTATAAAGGATAAAAAGGACTAGATCTACTTCGTTCCATTTCAAGGGGATTTCGTCTCGTCAAGACAAGATTCTGACCAAGAACTTCAACATTTCTGTTGCCAAGGGGCATTACATCTACTGGGCATGAGTTGGACTGCTCCCCAAAGCCTCTTAGAAAATCTAGTGACAGGATAAGGAAGGGGTAGATAATGTGATGGTGATTGATATCTAAAATTGTTAGTTGTAATTGGTGATTCATTTTGAATTAAGCTGTCACCTAAGCCTGCTTAAGCTACTAATAAAAATACACATTAAATTTTGTTGGCATTTGTGGACATTGAAATTAATTCTGAGTCAGGAATTAGTAATATTGCTTCTGAATTATGGTAAAATCTATGTACAATGGTTCTAGGAAGATGGTGGCGCCGTAGGTTTCTTTGGTGATGAATAAATAATGACCCTGGGGTTCAAGTCGAGCCACTAAACTTGATCTGGTCTGTAACAAATGCTTTAAATTTGCCGTTAACAAAAGTGATTGTTGAGGTTACGCAACCGCGAGAGCTACTCGGTTGATTGGCTTAATAATTGAAAAGGGCCATAGCTTTTGGATTGGAGGCAGTTAAAGGCTAGATGCTTCTTTCCCGCCGCCAACTTATACAGAAGGTCTTCTAGGCTATCTATGTAGTAAATGTACCAGGATCTAGAGTCTTTCCCGACCCGTTAGTTGGAGAACTAGTCAATAGTCGGTCCATGAGAATTGAGAGGATTAAGGTGGGGCTGGCCATTACGCAATAACCACAAAAGCCACGACACACAGAGACTTATCCAGTAGATGAGCTCCAAATGTCCCCCTCCTTGTGTTAAGCTGCTCCAGACAAGAGACGTTGTTAGAATGATTTGGGACCAATTCCATGTGCAGGTGTTGGTCTGCACTACATCGTTTTAAGTCCAAACTCAGTGGAGCTCGTCTTTCTTCCAGGAGGAAAAGCCCCCTCACCCACTTTAATAACCACAACGTCACTGTTTGATTGGTAGCAACTGCTTTCCATTGGTGTTGATATTTAATTAGAATTTTGAACTTATTTGAAATTTCAGGGAAACTGAATTATATTTTTATCTGCAAATAAACTTTCCATGTCAAGTTTACTTGTATAGAATAATTTAACAAGGAAGCTCAAAGTCTTTTACAAGACAAAAACATAACACAGTAAACGAATAAAAAAAAACCTGTTATTTGGTAAAATATGGAAAAGTAAGTCATAGTTATATACACCATAGACCTAATCTGTGCTGTTGAATTTCTGCAGGTGAAGTTTTGCAGTAAAGTAAAACAATAAATAAATAAAATTCAAATACAAATAATTGCACAGAATAAAAATTCTGTTTTACATTAAATGTTTTAAAAAAGTCTTTATGATGAGGATATTTGTCTTGCAAGGACTTATGTTTTGTATAAAATTCTTGCATCCTGTGTTTAATGTGCAGTGTAAAATATGCAACTGTTAGAGGTCATTACAGTACCTTTAATAAATGAATAGAAATCTGAGTTAAATCTGAGAATGGGTGAGGGTGTCTGACGTTTGATCTGGAGGGATTGTCTTCCAGGTCCAGACTTACAGGCTACTTTGGAACAAATGGTCATAAAAACTCGAACAAATGCTCAGACCTTGCTCAGAGTCTGTACAGAATGAGTGTGTATGAGAAATAAATGAAAACAAAAGGGTGGGGAACACAGATATGAGTGCATAGCTTGATTTTTGGTGCATTCAAACACAGCTTTAGACACAAATAACTTCAAACAGATTGCAACATTAAGGCGTCAAGACTGAAAATAACAATCTTAGCACACAAATCAACAAGTCGTCAGCAAGAGGGATCATATAAACATGCATATAAGAAAGACAACTGAATTGTCTAATTCAGCTGTCTGAGCTCCGACACAAACAAAACTACATTTCCTACTTGTGATTCGTAATAATGTCCGGTGGCTGGTCGAGTAAATAGACGCCCAACATCTCTCTACCTTCATAAACTGAATATTTAAACGATAAATGATTTTCAGCTTCTGCACTTGTTCCTGCTGTCTGCGTTTGAATAAATACATCCACAGTCTCTTTCATCTCTGTCACCTCTGCCTCATCCTTCATTTACCCTCTGGAAAAAAAACAAAAAAAACAAGCATAATATCCTTAGTTTTAGAAACATGACATCGAGCTGGCTTCCATGGTGCTAATTACAGTAGCTGTGGATTAACAGCCTAATGTGCTGGGAATATGGGTAATGAGCAGTGGAGCTACTTTGAACTGAGAAGCAGCTACAAAGCCGATAAATTGTACAGTTAAAACAACATGCAAAATGGGCCATTACTAACTAACTACTATGACAGGGTATATTTTTAGTCTGGGAAACAGGTGTTTTTCTGTTTTTTATTATACTCAAAGGGTTATTTGGGTAACTAGGTGGTGATGCTTAATGCAACGACAACAAAACTCTTACCTTTATTTCAGCGTAAGCTTATCTAGAACCAAGAAAAAGTATTAAACCACTAATTTTTAAAAAATACTTTGCTTCTAGAAGTCTATGTTTGCAATTGATCAAAGTGGTCTTCATAAATATTTCTCTAGTTTTATTACTGTACCTGCCAATAATATGTAGTGATACAATATGCGAAGCAAAGTCCTGAGGCAGAATCTGAGGGAAACGTCATCCTTTTGTGAACCCATCTGCTATAAATCCAGGTTTCATCTAATAGCTTCTGGATAATACCTTCTTGTTGCCAAAGTAATGTTTTATGGACGTCAAACTATTACTGCTTACTATTTACATATTTATTTGCTAAGGTGTTTGTGTTGAAAACGCACTGGTTGGAAATCTAGCAGCTTTCCCTATACGACCATGAGTAATAGAAAGGTAGAGGTGCACATAGATTTAATGGTACATTCATAAAATATAACAATAAATCAGACTTCCATTGCACTGAATCTTCCTCAACTGGTGTAGGACTATTTAAAGCAGCATGTCCTACAGGCATAATCCAAACAGAATCTTGAATCCAAAATTGTGTGCAAACTGTAGTACAAAGTTTAAAAGGTTATCACATTAGGGTCAACAAGTCAGCAGGAAAGGTTCGGTGGCTCAGCACATGTTTTAAAACATACATTTTCTTAAAACATATTCAGAGAATAAATACATTTCTTCTTAACTGATTTTCACATCTGGGCCGCTTATCCACTTTCAGTTGTCGTTTTAGGAAACACACTGTTCTTTAATTAATCCACCTGTTTTTAAGCTCTCTATGTGAATGAAAAAAATTGCAATCAGCTATTACAGTATATATACAGTTGAGGCTGAGGCAGAGGTATAAAAAAAATCTAATCTTCAAGTTCTTAAACTTGCCATACAAGTCAGCAAGGTTATCACAGGTCCTTCGTCCCAGTAGCTGTCAGATTTTACAACCATCACTGCTCCCAACAAAATCAATAAGTATTTACATATGCTGGCATTTGCACAATCAACTACTCTATTCTTACTCACTTAAAAAAAAAAAATCATGTCTGCTGTTATTGTACATCTGTTTTTTTTTCCTGTATTGAACCCCCCCCCCCCCCCCGGAATACTCTCTTTTTTTTACTGTTCAATAAACATGCATGTTAAGTAGTATGAGTATGTAGTATGATATTCCTGTTTTAATTTGGAAGGTCCATATGAAAGTACAACAAAACTAAATGAGGAGTTACTCATTTTGTTACTCGTGTGTTAATCTCTGTTTTTACAAAGTGACAGTTATATGCAGAAGTTTTTTTTTTCTGTTTTTTTTCCTGTCCAACTCTGTCATCTTGGTTTGTCGTTATGTTATGCCGTTACTTTGGATTGCGTGTAAAGCAAACACAACACTGTGGAAAGATCCATCTTCTTTGTTGCTGCAACAACAACAACAACAACAACAACAACAAAAATCACTCTGACAGATTATCAGTAATTAAAAGGAACACAGACCTGATGGGACACACTTTTAATTTGGACTTTCAGTAATTAATCCATGTGTGTTAATCTCCAAGTTCCTCCACTGCTCAGTAGTACAGAATGGCATTTTGCAGTTCAAGAAACATGAAGTTCTCTTTTATGCATGCACTTCACTAGACCTAAATTATGGCCAAATTAAAAAAAAATGCCCTTTATAAAATATTTAAAAGGCATAACCTGACATAGTTTCTACTGACTGCATGTGCATTTTAGCGTTTAATTAATTTATTATTTGGCTCCTTGAGAAAGTGCGAGAAAGTGCCTGTGAATCTGATTTGCCCCCAATAGGAATCTATGTACTAACAAAGGCCTTTCTTGGGAATGCTAATGTGATCATTATCAAACCACAAGGATGCCAAATTTTCTGCTCTGTCTATAGAAACCCCTAATAAAGCCAGGGTCTGAACTGGGAGGAGGGAAAAATGCCCTTTTTGTTGCTGTCTGCGTTATTTGTTGCTACAGGGGTCTCACTGCTATTCTTATTCTAATTGAGGTTCTCCTTCTCCGTTTCTCCCATGGAAACTCTGGTTCCCAGAGCAAGGACCCCAGTCTCTCACTGAGCCACTGCCACCCAGACAGCCAGGCTGAGTGGCAGAGAGGGAGGCAGCGATGGAGGGAGGAGTCTGGAGCTCCATCCACTGACTGCTGTGTGTGCTGTAAGTGGGATGAGCAAGAGAGAAAGAGAGGGAGAGGAAAGAGAGAAGAGGAGGAGGAGGAGGATGGGAAGGGGGGGGCAAGTGAGGGCTGGAGACTGAGAATGGATGGGGGACGCAAAACAGTGCGAGCGAGAGAGGAAGAGTGAACGTGCGTATTCTGAAAGTCAGCATTGAGGACGCAGAAAGTCCACAAGCTCACATCAGCAGAGGAGAGAAGCGTGAGGCGGATCGGGGCACCCAGCCACTCTGAAGAGTCAAACACACAGCAAAGAGCCGTTCAGGGAGAAGGAGAAGAGGAAGAGTACGCGGAAGAAGAGAAGGACAGAAAACAGCGTTCCTCTGGTAAAAAAAAAAAAAAAAAAAAGAGGAGACGCCACTGAGGGACTGTAGTATCGTCCAGAAGCGCACAGGAGCACTGTCTCATCTTGTCAATTTCTTTGTACCTGCCAACTCGAATTTCACACTCGCCTACTGTTTCCCGTAGGTTTTGACCTCTCCAATCTCCCCTGCCATGATCTCCTGGGTGCTCCTGCTCCTATGGATCTCCGGACATAGTAAGTTTTCCCCAGATAAACTTGCTAATTTTATGTCATCTTCCTTGCTTGCGATGGCTGTGTGACTCTCTGGCTGAGAGCCTTGTCCTCTGACTTCATCCCTTGCTGTGACGTGTGAGCTTTTTGTTGCCTTCTGTGTTTCTCTTGACCGGATTTCTGCACAGTACTGCCATGTGCACTTTGATGTCTGATGCGATCAGGAGAGGAGGGAATCAGGAGGGAAAATGTCTGTGTGGATCCTGTGGTATGGAGGTGCCACTTTGTACATGTGGGGTTTGTGTCGCTTTCAGACACTGAAAGGCTAAATACTTCCTATGTGGCTTTATTATTCCTGTCACACACTCCCACACAAACACACACACAGAAAGAAGCCCTTTAACCCCAGTCGGGTTCAGTCAAGCGTTCACTCCTCCGTCACTTTGTTTTGAGCTGACAGACCCCTCCCCGTTGAATCCTGCTACGGGGGGGTCTGGTTTAAAGAATGGAGCCTGAAAAAGTTAACAGAGCATCAGAGGTTAGAGCTTGGCAGCTCGAGCCTTTCGGACAGTGTCTGTTGTTGTTTTTGTTCTTGGACAGTCTTTTGGTCCATAGAGTGAGGATGGATTAGTTGTATTCCCTGATTGCCACCAGGTGGTTGCCTTAAGGGGAAATTAAAAAGAATAAAAGGACCAAAGTACAGTCAAACTCTCCACCTGCGATGCGTGGACGGCTGAGTTAGGCAGCGGCGTGTTTGTCACTTCGCGGCAACACACCGACACGCAGCAAGCTGGCTCCGGTTTGCACTTCTCTGGGGTCAGGGTCAATGACAAAACCACTTTGTCGAGCTCGCCCCCGCTTGGTCTGAAGGAATGTTGATTTTTCCAGACAGAGATGTAACCTTTGATCCGGAGGAATCACTGAAAGCAGGCTAAATTCCTTTCTGCTTCAATCTGCAGTGACTTTGTTGACGTTTTTCGCGGCAGCCTTCGACTCAGTCGGGTGCACGCTGCTAAAACAGCGGCAACACATAACACTCGGTAAACAAATCATTTGCTCCGTCGCTGACTTCAGCTGTTCCGCGTCTTGATTTATCGTCTGTAACACAGAACATTGCTTATAAAACACAACCAATTTACTCAGAGTATGTTTTCCGCTGACTGAAGTTTTATGTAGAAACGGTTTGGAAATCATTCATCAATTTGAAACTGACGGGGGGGCCAGGAGGGTGCTGGAGTTTCTAAGCATTGCTCAGCATCGCTTTTTAAATGAACAGCTTTGGATTCCTCGTATCGAGACAGTGTGAGGTTGGCCAGAGTTAGTTAGCGTTGCAGGACAGTTACAGAACATCACACTCTGCACCTCAAAAGCTGCGTTTGTGTTTTTCCTTTGCTGCTTTCTGGTCCCCCTGAATTCACCATCAACTCTTCCTGCACCATCTGCACTTACTGTGTCACAAAAATACATCATCAGTCATTGGTTTCCTTTTTCCCACTCTATTATGCGTCTTCTAAATTTGCTGCTGCTGCTGCTGCTTTATACAGTCGAGAGAAAGCGTGTGCTCATTTATAGTTGTAATGGACTTCAGAAGCTGATGCTTTTATTTACTTATGTAAGCGCATTTTGCCTTAGTTTATTAAGCTTTATACATCACAATTTCATGCACATATTATCACAGGTTTAGTCCCAGTCCTGGGAACAACTAACACCGTATCTCATTTCACTGGAATGGGATAACTGCTGCAACTGGACTGAAATGGGATTGCGGCGCATTTCAGCAAAGTCAGTTATTACCATAATATAAAATATCACTTCCCCCACCAGGTAAACAAGATATAACAACCAACCGTCTCTTTGCATGCCTCCAGGGAGAAGGAGAAGTGCTTCCCCAAAGCTTTCTGTTGTACAAATTACGGCTCTGTTTATGTGTCGAGCCGGTGTCAGCAGAAAGCTGCGGGGGGAAAAGAAACAATCTTGTTTTTATGAACAGGGGGAAAGAGAGAGTTGTCGTCCAAGCAGTCATATACTTACTTATACGCAGCTGTCCTGTGAGACAGCCACGAAGAGTGTGAAAATGAGGGACTGAGTAGGAGACAGGGGGGTTCTTATTCAGACAGAAAAAGTCTGGAAATACGTGGAAATTGATTTGTTTTCCCTGGCTGGATCAGTATGATAAACAAAAACAGAGTAAAAGAGTGTTTCCCATCTCATTGTCTAAATCCATATGTCCATTCATGTTTTCCTTCCTTCCTTCCTTCCTTCCTTCCTTCCTTCCTTCCTTCCTTCCTTCCTTCCTTCCTTCCT